GCCAAAGAGGAACGTATCAAGGCACAATTTGACAAAAATTAAGGATAAGGAAAAAATATTAAAATTAGCAAGAGAAAAGCAACAAATATCATATAAGGGAGCTCCCATAAGGTTATCAGTGATTTTTCAGCAGAAATTCTCCAAGCCAGAAGGGAGTGGCATGATATATTTAAAGTGATGAAAGGGGAAAACTTACAACCAAGAATACTCTATCCAGTAAGGCTCTCGTTCAGATTTGATGGAGAAATCAAAAAACAGATAAAAGCTAAAAGGTTTCAGCACCACTAAACCAGCTTTACAACAAATGTTAAAGGAACTTTTCTAGTCATCAAACCATAAGAAAAGAGAACAAAAAGAAGAAAGAGGGGGAAAAAAAAGACCTACAAAGGATTGCTTTGGCAATTCAAGGTGTTCTATGGTCCCATAAAGATTTTGGAATTGTCTGCTCTGGTTCTGTGAAAAATGTGAGTATTTTGACAGGGGTTGCACTGGATCTGTAGGTTGCTCTGGGTAGTGTGGCCATTTTGATAATGCTGATTTTTCCAATCCAAGAGCACAAGATATCTCTTCATTTCTTTGTAACATCTTCAACTTCCTTCATCAGTGTTTTTACAGTTTTCAGAGTATAGGTAACCTCCTTGGTTAAGTTTATTTCTAGGTATGTCTAGGTTGTTTTGGATGTAATGGAAATGTTTACGCCAGTTATAAAACCCTGGTTTTTGAAGTGGAAAGAAAAAGTGAATGAAGGGTTGTGAGTGGCAAAATACCCTTCTTTCTTACGGTGAGTTGTGTTCCATTACATATATATGCTGCACCTTCTTAACCCACTTATCTATTTATTGATGTGCACTTACGATGCTGCCATGTCTTGGCGATTATAAATAATGTTGCTGTTAATAGCAGGGTGTACGTATGTTTTTTAATTAATTCTTATTTTGTGGTTGGCTTTACTCCTTTGATAACTATGTAAGTTTAAAAAGCTAAAGCTCTAAACGTTCTTATAAACAATGAACAGTACATATATGCAAATTTTTAAAAAATGTGCAGTATATTGTCTGTATGTATTTACATGCAATATATTGTGTATGTGCAGTCAAACTGTAACAATTCTACCTAATAAAACTGAAAACTGAAACAAAACAAAACCGCGTTCTGACACTGGCCATTCTGGCAAAAGTGTGTCTCCAATGGCTTCATCTCTACTTAAGAAAGCGAGCCCGAGTGTGAGCCGTGAAGAACAGGCCAGGTGAGTGTCAAAGAAAATGTGTCTCATTTTAACAGTGAAGTGCTAATTATCTTTGGCTAATTACAGCTGTTTTCCATGTAGTTTTAGAACACATCATGTTCTA